CCCCCCCCCCTACACACACCCAAGTTGATTATTGAATGGCACTTTGTTAAATAGTTATATTCTTAAACTATTATGATATTTGAAAAGTCAGCCCTAACTCCAGTTAATGATTTTTATCATTGACCATGTAATTATAGAAGTTAAGGTTATTTAGGGAAGTATAAAAAAGAAAGGAGTTTTTCTAAGAAGTGGTAATGATTTGGGGGTTTTGTTTTATACCAAAGATTGAACTCAGGTACGCTTAAACCACTGAGCTACATTCCAAGTCCTTTTTATTTTGAGACATGCTCTTGGTAAGTTGCTGAGGCTCACTTTGAACTTACAATCCTCCTGCCTCAGTCTCACAGGTTGCTGAGATTGTAGGCTTGTGCCACCATGCCTCGGCTGATTATAGCTTTGACAGTGTAACTCATGATAAATAAGAAAGCGGTTACTCAAGAAAGTTTCTTGGGATAGTTGAGAAAGGCATATTGGAATTTTTTTTTTAATATTTATTTTTTAGTTTTAGGTGGACACAATATCTTTATTTTATTTTTATGTGGTGTTGAGGATCGAACCCAGCGCCTTGTGCATGCCAGGTGAGCGCGCTACTGCTTTAGCCACATCCTCAGCCCCACACGTTGGAATTTTCTGGGTGATAGAAATGTTTTGATATATTTTTTTTTTTTTTTTAGTTTTTGGCGGAGATAGAAATGTTTTGTTTTGTTTATTTTTGTTTTTTTTTTAATATTTATTTATTTATTTTAGAGAGAGAATTTTTTAATATTTATTTTTAGTTTTCGGCGGACACAACCCGGGCCGCACGCATGCCAGGCGAGCATGCTACAGCTTGAGCCACATCCCCAGCCCCAATATTTATTATTTTTTTTTAGTTGTAGTTGAACACATACCTTTATTTTATTTATTTATCTTAATGAGGGGTGTGTCTATAGGTTACACATATGTTGGCATAACTAATTCTTAAGATCTGTTTGTTTCACTGGATGTAAAGTGTTCCCACAAATTAAAATTAAAAATTTTGATTAGTGTATTCAAAAAAATTCTCAGGTTCTCAGACAATCAAATGCTAGGGAGAGGCCATATAATTAACAGCCTTGCAATTACTATGATAATGGGCTAAATAGAATAATTATAAATTGATAGGATAGTGATTGCTATCAATGTTTCAAGTTTAAGTTAAACAGTCACTTAACCTTTTCCCGAGTTGGTTACTGGTTATAAAACACTTGAGTGGTCCAGGCCAGTTTGCATTGGATTAGAAGTTTTTTGGGGCTTGCGTTGCCATTTGTTCCCTATGGAGCAGCACTTTCTTATTCAGTAAATGGAAATAAAACAACCCAGGACAAAATAAAACATGGAGATACATTTTTTTTTTCATAAATAGATGAATAAAAGTCAACTAAGATGAAGAATTAAAACTAATGACAAAAATAGTTACCATATAGTACAATTCCACATCAAAACCTAAAGGCTTCATTACCTTATACAAAGACCTACATGGTTACATTCCTAATACAACAACTAATTGAGGAATATAAGCTCAAGGAACCAAATTGGAGTGCCCATTAATGTTGAGATAAGTTAAAGAACAAGTTGGACAAGAGGAGCTTTTTGGTAACCTGTTTCAAATGATGCCAAATCTTGTTCTTAAGTAAACTGAAATGATGATATAATATTCAGTATCTGAAATAATACAAACCTGATTACTTAATCAAAACATCATCCTGGGCAAAGCAGACTACTGGTCTTATAGGGTTTGGGGGAATTATGAAATTTAAAGATCCATAAACTTTCAAAGACTAGGAGTGAATGTCAGCTGAGGAAGCACTGTCACTCAAGTGAGACATGGTTGGCATTCAGATGTTTTCATTGAAGTGAGTCAATTTTTGTCTGGCTGACTTTCAGGAGTAAGGAATCATCACTGTTTGATTGGTTGTTTACAGAAGCATTCTGGGATAAATTTTTATTGGTTGATTAAACTTGTTTAAACTAGTTCTAGGCTTGTTGCCATGGAAGAACTGTCATCTCTTGATTAAGAAGGTTTAAAATCTGTTCTGGTGACTGCTTTTATATTGAGGCTACTGACCATTTAGTTTTTTCCAGGAATGTGAGAACTTTTTATTTTCACGTAATGTCCCCTCCTGGAAATTTTGAGAATCATCTTTTTTTAGTATAATATTTCATAATGATAAGCCTTTGTAAGGGTTGTTTCTGTTTGACTTCATTTTTATTTTCTTTTGGTTTCCACTTTTTACCATACTGAATACTCAGTAAGCTTTTTTACAGACTAGAAACTCATATTCTTCAGTTCTGCTTCTGATTCCACATGATTTTCAGGTTCCCTTTGTGTACCTTTCCCTTATTTTAGGAATATGTATTTGGGTTTTTTGCTCTCTCTGCCAGCTTATTCACATTTACCATTTATCTATTCCAGGGATTGACCAGGTAAATAGTTTAGGCTTTATGGACCAGATGGCCTCTTCTGCAACTACATAACTCTCCAGACAGTACACAAACGTGTAACTGTGTTTCGTTAAAACCAGTGTAGGCTGAGCATGGTGGCTCACACCTGTAATCAATCCCATCGACTCAGGAAGCTGAGGCAGCAGTATTGTAAGTTCCAGGGCAGCCTTAGTAACTTAGTAAGACCCTGTCTCAAGTGGGAGGTGGGTTGGGGCTGGAGTTGTAGCTCAGTGATGGTGTATCTAGCACCTCAAAACAAACAAAAAGAAAACTCTTTATGTAGTACTGGAAGGTTCAGCTTGCCTGGCCTGAGTGGGGTCCTGGGTTTAATCCCCTCAGCACTATCCAAAAAAACGAAACAAACAAAAAAAACTTTGTATAACAAAACAGATGATAAACTGCTTTGTATGTAGTCCCTGTCCTATCCCATTCATCTTTCTAGAGTGTTATATGTGTATGAACTAGTTGCACTAAAAATGAATTTACTTATTTGAATGTCTTATTTATATAAAGCTTAAATTATTTTTTCTTCTTCAACAAGGTACTCAATTTTGACAAGTTTGCATCATGCGTGAATATAAGCTAGTCGTTCTTGGCTCAGGAGGGGTTGGAAAGTCTGCTCTGGTAAGTTATTCTCAAGGAACCTAACCTTTTCACACCAAGCTGTCTTTTTCTATTGAGTTTTAGGTTTCATTATTTGTATTTGTTAAAGTGATAATAACTTATGATGCAATATTGTATTTTTCTTATAGTTTAGTGAATTTTTAGTTATATTTGGCTGGATTATATTTGAGGTATGACAGAACATAGTTTGGGCTAAGTACAGAGAGAGAGAGCATATAAATATGTGTTTGCATTTGAGGACCAGATAGGAATGGGGATTTGGGGATTTTTCCTTGTGAGTAAGCTTATACTATATATATTATGTTAGAAATGTCAAAGCTTATAAAAAGTCATTTTCTTTCTCCTTGGTGAGATAAACCATCTTACTTGGCCACTTCAGGTGGCCACCTAGCAAAGAATTTCATGTTTGAATCCAATTAAGTGTACATAATATGGTATGAACTACTTTTTCAATTGTATCTAAAGTAATGGAGAAGTATATTGATTGTATGTAAGTTTATACATAAAACTCTAATACCCAATGCTATGTAAATAGCTTTCATACTGGATTGTTTAGGAAATCTGCTCACAATAGGTAGGTGAATTCCTATGTCCGATAACACAGCATATGACAATAAAACAATGTGCAGACATTTTTATTTTAGTAATTGTCTCCCTACCTTTATATAGCAGCAAGTTTGGCCCCTGCTGCTTCACAAATATGGTGTTTCCTTTTCTACCTGTGTCCACAGTCTACAAAAACTCCTTCCTGCTCCCCAACTGTGAAATTACTTTGTCTTTGTACCTGATTCTAAGAAAGTCTGAGTGTGCTCAGCACAGATGCAATCTGGTTCTCCTCACCCCAACCCCATTCCCCAGATATCTTTGATCCTCGATTGGTTGAATCTGAGAATGTGGAACCCACAGATACAGAGGATCAAACGTAGAATATAATTTGCAAATTTGGATTTGTTCTTTAGATGTATAATGGTATGTTAATTTTTTTCAGACTGTACAATTTGTTCAAGGAATTTTTGTTGAAAAATATGATCCTACGATAGAAGATTCTTATAGAAAGGTAGGTTACTTTAGAAGTCCTTCTGATTTTTAGTAGAAATATAATAATTACTTTTTTTAATAATTATTTTTTAGTTGTAGTTGGACACAATACCTGTATTTATTCTTTTTTTAATGTGGTGATGAGGATCGAACCCAGTGCCTCACACATGGCAGGCGAGTGCTCTGCCATTGAGCCACAACCCCAGCCCAATGTTTTTATAATTATTGAATGTTTGTATACACAGTAGAATGAAGAGACAGTTAATTTAAAAATTAATGGGAAAAACTGTATTTCCTGGCATTGTTAATTTTTTTAACAGTTTAGAGAATCATAAACATGCATACATATTCACAAAGCTTTTAAGTTTAACCTGACCCCTGAATTGTTAATTTGACACAGACTTTAGAACCCATTTCAAGTTGTAGCCCCATGTTCCCTACCACTACTCCTAGAAAGATGAGTTATTCTTCTTTTAAACTAGAGATAAGAATACAGAAGTCTCCCTAGCCTTCCTACTTAATACCTCCTTGAGAAAGTACTCCTGCTCACGATATGTAGGTGAATTCCTGTGTCCGGTAACACAGAATATGACAATAAAACAATGTGCAGACATTTTTAATTTAGTAATTGTCTCCCTACCTTTATATAGCAGCCAGTTTGGCCCCTGCTGCTTCACAAATATGGTGTTTCCTTTTCTACCTGTGTCCACAGTCTACAAAAACACTGGAAACTCCTTCCTGCTCCCCAACTGTGAAATTACTTTGTCTTTGACTTGATTCTAAATAACTTTTCCCCCCTAGGAAATATTAGGTGAAAAGAGGTACTGGAGATATGGAATTTATTTTTAGTTATGGCACTGCTTCCTTGCTATTAGAACACTTGTTCAAGAATGATGAGGAAGTGTAGTTATCTAAAGAAAAGGGACCTCTAAAGAATAATGGGAGAGTTGATAGACAAAATCACTGTTGATAGTATTGAAGTTATTGGTTGTTTTATTCTTTCATTTACTTGAACTATTTTGATATCATTTCTTATCCAGAATTAAGTGCTGAGTTGAATGATTTTGAGACCAAGGCTTGTTATTGCTCAATAATTACCTAGTAAAACTGCCATAATTTCCCTGTTTCTAATTTTAGCTTTTGTGTTTTATTTATTTAAGGTAGTCTTTTATATATATAAAAAAATAAAGATGTATTTTAATTTTTTCTAGCAAGTTGAAGTAGATGCACAACAATGTATGCTTGAAATCTTGGATACTGCAGGAACGGTATGTATGTAAACAAATTACCAAAGTTTATGCAGTTTGTACAATATTGATTTGTAAATGCTATTACTCTATATGCAAATATTAGTTTACTTAAGTATTACTTGAATCAATATTTAAAGCTATTATTTTCATAGTCTGGATTCTACTTTTTAAAATATTTTTAATTGCAGTGCATCAGTTGTTGAAGAATTTAGAAAAATTATTAGAATGACAATTTTCATAGTCTATATAATACTTTTTTCTTTTTGCATGTGTGTGGTTCTGGGGATTGAACCCAGGGCCTTGTACATGTGAGGCAAGCACTCTGCCAACTGAGTTATATCCCCAGCCCTCATTAATACTTTTAAGACAATATATTACCATATTTCAAATAATGTGTAAAATACTTGGGCATGCATTGTTCCTCAGTGGCGCTTTACTGATTTCATTGATATCTTTCCTCCATCAAATTATTTATAGGCCAGTATATTAGTTTTTCCCTTACAATTGTGAAATACCCGGGGCAGGCTTACTTTATAAAAAAAATGAGATTTATTTTGGCTCACAATTCTGGAGGCACAAGTTCTAGGGATCACATTATTATGATGCCTTCTTTTGGACAGTCTGGAGGTAGTCCAGAGCATCACATAGCAAGAGACAAGGGACATGCAAGTATCCAAAGATAAAGGGAAGATTTATTCTGGGTGAATGGTATGCATTCAGCTAATGTTTGAGTACCTGAGATATGCCAGACACTGTTCTTACCCTCAAATGCTCATAGTTTATTGAAGGAGAAGTGTGAGGACGTGGCATAATGTAGGTAAGCATTCTGATAGACCCACCTAACAAGAGTGTTGTGAGCTGGCTATAATTTTGGGATACAATTAGGAAGCGCTACACACTTCATGATATATTTAAAAAGCTACCTTTAAATAGGCTTCCAACTTTTCAAATAATAACTTGCTATGGACTAATTTTAAGAAGTGTTACAACTACAAAATCTTCATTGAGTTATAATCATAGATTTTAACTGTCAAAACATTCTGTTTTTTAATGTTCTTTTTTTGTACTATAGGAACAATTTACAGCAATGAGGGATTTGTACATGAAAAATGGACAAGGCTTTGCTTTAGTTTATTCCATCACAGCACAGTCCACCTTTAATGATTTACAAGATCTGAGAGAACAGATTCTTCGAGTTAAAGACACTGATGATGTAAGCTGACTTCCTAGTAATAACTTATTTCATATCCCTTACTATAGTGTATTCAATTTTAAAGTTTAAATTTAAATCAAATTTGAAGTTTGTGTATTGGGTTAAGGGTTCAGAACCTTTCTCTTTAAAAAAGGCACAAATGTATCTTTACATGTTTTCAAATATCATTATATTCCCTATTTTCTCATTATCTTGTGAAAATTAAATGTTATGCTTTTTTTTTTTTTTTTTGGAACTGGGGATTGAACTCAGGGGCACTTAACCACTGAGTCATGTCCCCAGCCCGTTTTTGTGTTTTATTTGGAGACGGGGCCTCACTGAATTGCTTAGGGCCTGGCTAATTTGCTGAAACTGGTTTTGAACTTACAATCTTCCTGCCTCAGCCTCCTGAGCTGCTGGGATTACAGGCCTACACCACCACACCCAGCTAAACCCTTCTGTTTTTAAACAATGCATTTTGTGGGAAGGAATATGGGATGTAAATGTTACTAATAGAGCAAATAATCTTCTGGTCACATTTCTGGTAGATTTAAGAGCCTTTGAAATTAGGATTTGATGTAAATAAATATAAACGTACCAAGCAGCAGTGACAGAGAAGGAGCATAATAATAATTTTAAAAGGAAGGCAGCCCTTCAGAACGTACTGTAATGCAGTTAATAAGAAACTTAAAGGAAATTATTTTAATTCTTCACTATCTGTAATAGTGATTCCTAAAATAAGTCATGCATCAGAATTATCTGTAGGACTGATTAAAACATAAATTGCTGGCCCAACCACCTCAGAATTTGACTCAGAAGACCTATAATAGAACCCTGAATTGTGCATTTCCAACAAATGTCCAGGTGATGGTGATGCTACACGATAAGAAATGTTGTACTGTACTTTAATTAGAGCTAATATTATAAGAGTTGAGACACACTAATGGTAAGTGCTGCCATTTTCTGAACATCTAAAACAAGGAAGTTTGGGGAAAGTCTACATTTTTATTTTCCTATCACTTGCATTAAACAAATATTTATTAAATACCTCATTAAAAAGCCAGAATTCTTGAGGTTTTGTTTGGATTTATTTTCCACAAAATACTTTAGAAAACTGATTTGAAAATGATTGGTAGTGGTTTGGTAGAATAAGCATTATTTTTGCCTATAGTGTTCTTTTAAAATTACAAATATCACATAATGCAAACACACTGTGCCATTAATAATGGCCTTGATTTTTAGTAAATTAAGTTGATTAAACCTTCTGACTGTTTAATATCAGATTACGTGAGAAACTAAAAATTCTACTTTGGGGGCCAAATTTCTCCTTTATTTACTTTCACAGTAACTCCTTTGTATTTCCTTTTATAAAGGTTGTATTTTTTTGATTACCATAATTATTTGTAAATCCATTGTGTTATACATTTTAACCCTCTTTTGTAAGTATGACATTCATTGTTTTCTAAAATTTTTTTGTGAAAGGTTCTTACTTGTATCTACATTGCCTAGGTTATATCCATTTAGTTCCCTTTGGAATTATCCTTTAACATCTCCATGAGAAGAGAAGGCAGTGGAAATAATTGACAGCGCAGTTGACCTGAAAGCCAATACTAGTTCATTCAGTCTTACAAATTAATGTTGTTAAGGCTTTCATATTTTAAGTGTAAATTTTATTACATATTGTATCTGACACCATAGGAAAAGTAATCTTTAAGGTTAACTCTTAGAATTCTTTTTATTTGAATTTGTTAATATACATACTTATTTATTTTTATTCTCACAAATGTCTTTTTAGGTTCCCATGATTCTGGTTGGTAATAAGTGTGACTTGGAAGATGAAAGAGTTGTAGGAAAGGAACAAGGTCAAAATCTAGCAAGACAGTGGAACAACTGTGCATTCTTAGAATCTTCTGCAAAATCAAAAATAAATGTTAATGAGGTATGGTCAGATACTAAAAGTAGTTTTTTATTTTGATTATTTAAAATTAATGGAAAAGTGTGTGTGTGTGTGTGTGTGTGTGTGTTTAATACAACTCAAACTTAATATGTATTCAGAGTGATATGTTGATCTTATAGGCAGAAAAATTCTTGTTAAATATATGTATATAAATAAGTACTATTTCAGTTATTAAATGCTTGTGCACTTAAATTTTATCCCAAGAAAGGAAGGTTAGATAGAATATAGGACTGGGAAAGACAGGTTAACTCATCATGAAGGATGTTATGTAAAAGAGAAAACTTCAAAAAGGCATTCTTGGATTATATGAACTTAATTTAAGGAGAACAATTTTAACCCACTCCAAGTGAACTTGGCACTTGTAAGAATGCTCGGTTTTACTTTCTTGTTTCCTGGTGGTACATTTATATCCTTGGAAATGTCCATTTTTTTCATTTCACTTTTTCAGTTTTGGGGTTTTTGTAATGTGTTTGCAGATCTTTTATGACCTAGTGCGGCAAATTAACAGAAAAACTCCAGTGCCTGGGAAGGCCCGCAAAAAGTCATCATGTCAGCTGCTTTAATATATTGAATGCATTGTAGCTCTGAGCCAGGTATGTTGATTTATCTTTCCTCTAATTGTTAATCCCTCAGCTTCATTAAGGACACTGTCAGGAAAGCAAGTGGAGTTTTGGTTTTTGTTAGCTCTAAAAAGTAGATGGTTACATTCATGAATTAGTTTGATATCTTGTTAATGAAAACAATTATTTCATTTACTTATCATCAGAAATAAGGTATTCTATGTAAATGACCAGATATTCTAAATAAGTTTATTCAGGGAATGGGTTATACCTTAGTGATAGAGCACTCGCTGGCACCTATGAGGCCCTGGGATTAGAACCCAGCCCTACCAAAAAAAAAAATTCCATTTATATAAGTGATAGGACACTGGTTGGTGCAGGCAATATAATGGTAAAGGAGACCTGCCTTATCTCCTTGCCTCTTAATTAAGTGTGATGGAAGAGAGTTGCAAAATGTCATAAATGCAATGAGAGTAAATCCAATGTAGTACTAAAAAACCCTGACACATTTACCATGTGCCCAGCACTCTTTTTAAGGATCCCTATCTGTATATTAATTGAATTCTCACAACAATCCTCTGGAATGATGATGATGATGATGATTAGTTGTTATTATTCCCACATTACGGAGGTGGGAACTGTCACTTGTGAAAACCCCTGTTAGTGAATAGCAGTGCCAGAATTTGGATAGGCAGTCTGACTTCTGAGTGCTGTGATGGGTACTGTGGGAGCATATAATTGGGGCACCAAATGTGTAAGAATTCAGGAAAGTCAGTCAAAAGTAGGAGACATTAAGCTGAGATCTGAAGGACAAGTGGAAGTTAGCTGTATTGGGCTGGAGGGTTCCCAGACAGAAAAACACTAACATAACCCAGAGATGTGAGCAAAAAAAAAAAAAAAAAAACTGAGCACACAATGTTTTTATGTATATTTTTGAAAACAGTCATATTAAATAGGATTGATACTTTAAACAGATCAGTTCCTGGTACATAGTGAACATTCAAACCATTAGCTGCTAGTTTTTACCAATGAAACTGGTTTCCTGTTCAGTTATTACTAAGGCATTATTTCACTGTACTCTTATCCCTGAGAACTTTTAACTTTTGTGACTGTTTCCCCCAGTATTAAATGGGCCCATAGTGTCATTATCTTTTTACAGTATATGTCCCTATTGTGCAGTTAGGGTCCTCTGTTTAGTAATAGATCCTCTTATAATGATAATCTCTCATACCTGACTGAATGTTCATTCTTACTTGCATCCCATATGTGCCTGAGCTTATATACTCCCATCTGTCCTTTCCAGTTTGCTACTTTCAGTCTGCTAGGTTTTAGAAAATTACATTACAAACCTCATTCAAACTAGAATAAAGACCTAAGGTTCTAGGTATTTGTGAAAATAGTTTCAGCAGCCACATGTGTATTTACATGTGCTTGGAAACAAGTCTGATCCCCAGAAAAATGGAGTTTAAAAAATATATATATATTTTAAAAGCTTAGGCATATATGTAGAAGGTCACCGGAAGTAAATAAATATTCCACAGTTCAGATTTTACTTCTGTTACATTACAAATATTATTTTAAAACTTTAGTTTTCTCTAAGGAAAAATTAATGTGATTTTCAGTACAGTACCACTTTTTTGATATCTAAAATTTGCCAAAATCTATGAATACAAAATTTGGAAGTAATGTAACTCAACTATAAAGTGGTAAAAAACATCATGAGATAAATTCTAAAAAGATACGAATCAAAGTACTGAAATAGCATGGGGCCACTTAACATAAGAAATAGCCACAGGTATTAAATATTGCCTCTCTGAACCTAGATTTTAGCTACTTTTTAAGAGTAAGGAAGCAAAGTCTTAACTTTTCTCATACTAGAAACCCTGGTTTTCAAGAGAGTAGCAAAATAGACTTCATCTTTTTGGAATGCAGAGGTGAAAATGTCTTTACTCTGAGTTATGGTACATTGTCATTCATGTAATGACTGAAACAAGAGTCTGTAGTGTATTTCTAATATTACAAAAATGTTGGGGAGTTGGGGGTGTCGTTTGGTGGTAGAGCACTTGCCCAGCACATATGAGGCACTGGGTTCAATCCTCAGCACCACATAAAAAAATAAATAAATAAGGGCTGGGGTTGTGGCTCAGTGGTAGAGTGCTTGCCTCGCATGCGTGAGGCCCTGAGTTTGATCCTCAGCACCACATTAAAAAAAATTAAATAAAAAATAAAGATATTTTAAAAATAAATAAATACATAAAATAAAGTTACTAAACAGAAAGTTTTAAAAAAAAAAGTTGGGGCTGGGGTTGTGGTTCAGTGGTATGCCAAGCACGTGTGTGAGGTAATCCTCGCACCATATAAAAATAAATAAAATAAAGGTATTGTGTCTATCTACAACTAAAAAAAAAATTCTTTTTTTTAATGTTTTATTGTTTCCTTTGGATCTTTAATACACTGGGTTCAATTAAATTTTTTTTTTCCTTTCTTTTAAAAGGTCTGAAGAACTGTTGCCCAATTCAACAGTGCCAGCATTCCAACTTTGTTAAACCTACCAACATCTTATATGGACTTTCCTGTGGTGGTACCCTTTAAGAGGCGGATGAAAGCTACTATATCAGTTTGCACATTCTAATCACTTTTCAGTATCACAAGAGAGATTTTTACTTATATAATAGTCCTAGAGTATGCAGCTGGTAAAACCAGAGGCTACATCCAGTATTACTGCTAAGAGACATTCTTCATCCACCAATGTTGTACATGTATGAAAATGGTGTACTGTATACTTTAACACACCCCATACTTTGTATTGGAGAGTACAATAATGTAAATCCTGAAAGCACCACTATTTTAGCATAATAAAAGAAAGTCCAAAGAGCTCCTATATAGACTACTCCAGATAAACTTTGCTTCTTTGATACTTGTAGCTTATTGTAATTTTTTTTAAATCCAAGGTCATTATCATTGTATTGTATAAAATAAGCGCTTTGATTAACACAGCTATATAGTTTTTTTTAATTTTTTCAAAAACCTGTGGAGACAGTGATCTTGTCTTTAAAATATAGTCCTTTCAGTATGATGTCTTAGATTAAAGACGTTGCCTTTAATATCTGTTGGGAAGGAAATGTCCAGACTTTTCAAATCTCCTTATTATGTGTTTCCCTTTTTTGTTTACATAGGGAACAATGTTTGTAGTTGTGTGTACAGTGGGGGTCTACAACAAGAAGTGTATATTTTCAACAATTTTTTAATGATTTAACAATTTTTGTAAATCATTTTCAGGCTTCTGCAGCTGTAGATTCTCACTGTGAATCCCTTGCTTGCTCATGCATAAGTGTATTTGCAATACCAAATATACAGGTTTAGTATTTTTGCCTGTTAGTGATTGTTTCACATGTGTAACGTTTTGGTTGAGATGTTAAATGGTGGACGAGTACTGTGGATGTGAATGTGGGAAGTAATTTTAATCATGTATAATTGGTCACAAGGCCTAATTTGCAGTAACTATTGCTGTTTTATTTAACAATGCCTTGTTGCTTTGTATGCATTTAACGTTTGGGTGTAAAGATTGTGTGTCTATCCAACAGGGAGCCACAGTATTTAAATTGACCAACCTAATGTTACAACTACTTTGAGGTGGCCAAATGTAAACTAAAAGCCTTAATTAAAGTGGTGCAATTTTGTATAACTTAGCATCAGTAGTTCAATAAATTTGGATTGCCATGCAAGGGCTTGCATTATAATTACTTGCCACTTGAATGTGTTTTGTGTAATGTTTTAACAGTGCTAGTAAATAAATATGGGTTTACCTTCTTTTTAAATGTAATAGGTGTTATTTTACACATTGTGATTTCATAATTTAACATGAGTAAACTAGACTAATTAATTCCAGAAAAAATGTGTGAAAGGACTGGGGTTGTGTTCAGTGGCAGAACACTTGCCTAGCACATGTGAGGCACTGGGTTCAATCCCCAGCACCACATTAAAAAAAAAAAAAAAAACTAAATAAACAAAGGTATTATGTCCATCTACAACTAAAAACATTTTTAAAAAATTAGTGAATGATGGCAGGGTTTTTTTCTAGTATTTGAAGATTCACATAACCACCTTTTGAGCTTTTCTTTAAGAAAGAATTTTGTAAATCAAGCAATATTAGTTATGAATAAATGCTTTTGGGTGAAGAAGGATTGAAAATACTTTGCATACTAAACTGTGGATCCCCCCTCCCCGCCGCCGCTGTTAGTACTGGGGATTGAACTCAGGGGCACCTAACCATTGAGCCACATCCTCAGCCCTATTTTGTATTTTATTTAGAGGCAGGGTTTCACTGAGTTGCTTAGTGCCTTGCTTTTGCTGAGGCTGGCTTTGAACTTGTGATCCTCCTGCCTCAGCCTCCTGAGCTGCTAGGATTACTGGTGTGTGCCATGGTGCCCAGCCGGATTTTTTAAATATAGAATGAAGTTATACATAAAAATAAATAAACAATATAAAGTTATTGTGTCCATCTACAGCCCCCTCCCAAAGAAAGAATGGTTATAAAAATCTTTGAATGATATGGACTTGAGTACAACTTTGTTTTTAGAGATCTTTGTGCTATAAGTCAATTCTGTGGAATTTGTAAAAGGGCTTTTCAGTTTTTTCATAGTATTTACCAGCCACTGGAGTAATTAATTAGTAGTACCTTCTTGTACACTAATCACCTAAATACATGTTATTTGACTGGGACAGTAAAGGCTTTCATTTCAAAGAGACAAAGTCTTAACTTACATATTTAACTCACAGAGTTTCATGTATGGAAAGGCCTAAAGAAAAAAACAACATGTTTTTGCAGAAGCTCCTACTTATGAGAGACTGTTTTTATAACCTGGTGCGGGGGGTTGGATTAAGCCCCCAAAAGTAGGGCTGGAACACTAAAAATCCAATGAGGGTACCATCATTATTTCTGTTATCATTAGCAAATGTTTATTGCCTATCAATTATAGGCATGCACCACCATGCCTGGCAACTACCACTTGATTTTATTGTGAACCTAGCTTCATTATGAACCTAGTTTTATCTGATTTTCTTTAAGAATGACGTAGATGTGAATTATCCAAATTCAGCCTTTGGTTCAAAATGAAGAGCTTTTTCTAAAAACTATCACAGATCTTATAGGATTTTTATGTAAATGATAACTTCACTTAATTATAGACATGTTTTTGTCAGCTGCCATAATAATAATTCATATTTCTATTTATAGTGTTATAGTTTGGAATCCCTGTGAGCATTAGTTTCAGAAAAGGAAACTAATACTGCTAAACTTTTTAATGTGCAGTGTACAAGGCTAGGGGCAGAGAGAAGTAGGAAGGAGTAAGTGATATTACTTATAAACTTAGTCTCTGCTGGTATATTGTTCAGTGAGCCATTGGTAGGACAAACCAGTAATAAATTATCAAATCTTAGTAACTTCTAATCATACAGTTCATGCTCTATTACTCATACTAAAGTGACTGGTATTAAAAAGTTGTACTTTTTATTTTAAAATACAAGAACTATTTTATTTATATTCCCAACTATTAGATACAGTTGTCTATCAAGAGGTCAATGTTAATTCAGTATATTCCCTGAGGAAATCAACCAATAATGGAGAACTACAGGACTGCAGAAAATGCAGTGCAATCAGAAGGGTATGGTACAGAGTAGATAGTTAACAGGGGCCCTCTTCTGTACCAAATGGGAGTAATATAACTAAAGCAACAGATTTGACTGCTCTATGAATAACAGCCCAGGGAGGGTTGATGGTGGAGCAAGAGTTCACCCAGTTTGGAAGCTATTTGGTCCTTAAGCTGTGGTGAGAGTGGAAACCCAAGAAACTGCAGAGGAATAACTAGGGAACTGGTTGATGGCTTAGATGCAGGGCTGGGGGAGGAGGGGGAATGAGATGTCTAATAATAGTAGCAGAACCAAGAGTTTACCATCAATGAAGATAATTAAAATAAAGAGGCTCTCAAGGAATTGTAGTTTTGAGTGCATCAAGAAAAGATTGGGGTAGGATGAAGTTTAGATTAAGTAAAATATATTTTGATTTGTATTGAACAGTTGTCCCTTGAAGTTATTGATATAGCAGGAAGCAACTGAAACTGAATAAAATTATTTTCATAAGAATTAAGCATAAAAAAAAACCTGGCATAAGCAAGCCTTGAATGGGAAGAAAAGTTACATTTTAAAGGTATCTAATTACAAAAACAAGGGCAGAGAAGAAAGCAAATAGCTCTGTAGTAACTGAGAATTCTGCATCTTTAGCAAGCAGCAAAATACTATTGTTCCTTTCTACTCGGTTATGTACTGTAGGCCAGCAGCCATTTCATTCTCTAGACATGTCACAATATATACCTCTCAATGTACCTTATTAGTGGCGGATTGGCTTCTAAAGAGATAATAGGACAATTTTAGAAATGCCATTCCAGGGCGCTGGAGATACAGCTCAGTTGGTAGAGTGCTTGCCTCACATACACAAGGCCTTGGGTTCAATACTCAGCACCACCACCACCAAAAAAAAAAAAAACGAAAGAAAATGCCATTCTCTAGTACCAAGTTTTTGTATATTCATGCCGCAACTAAATCAGTTTCAGAGCTAGTGCTGGCAATCCATTCAAATTCAGTTGCACCAAAGCCTTAAGTAATCTCAAATATATGTCATTGCAGTATGTCTCCACCTACTTTCTTGATAATATAGACATTTTTTCTCTCATTTTTCATAACTGATATTTCGGTACTTTACACAAAATGTTAGGAAGATAAATCCTTATTAACTGGATTCTCACATTGCTCTATTTCATATTATCTTCTGGGGGAAAAAGTATTTGTGTCCTAAACAGTATTTGTTAGTTTCTTATAGCTGATGTAACAAATTTGATGGTTTAAAGCATCAGAAATGTACCCAGTTCTGGAGGCCAAAATTTCAAAATCAAAGTTGTCATGGTTGCCTCCCCCCTAGAATTCTAGGAAAGAACCATTCCTTGGCATTACACCAACTCGCTCCTGTCTCTGCTCGATCCTCATATCTCTTTAATGTGTCTAATACCCCTCTTCCTTTCTCTTACAAGGCAGTTTAGAGCCTTTCTTGATTATTCAGGATAATCTCACCTCAAGACCCTTAGCATACTTCCAAAGACCCTCTTTTCAAATGATGGAAACATTTTACAAGAGGGGACTGGGATGTGGACATAATCTTTGGGAGACATTATCAGCCAACTCACATGGTGTTTACTAATTTAACAAAATTTAGCTTAAGTGTACTTCAGGGTAACCTAAAATATTCTGAGCTGAATCAGCAGAACTTGGAGTCTCCTAGAGAGCCCCTGAGGATGTGGCAAAGCCATAGGGGTAAACTACGCTACAGAGATTTTTCTAAGGGAAATTTAGGATCAAGTGAGATTTCAAGGAGTTATAAGAGGTCCAGTCTGAGCTAGTTCCACAATTTCAGAACCAGTATAGTAGCTATGGAGCTGTTAACCATTGTCATCCCATTGGAATTACTTTCTACTTGTATTAGTATACATTCTCTCCATGTTTCATATTTTCAATGATAGCCAAACTCCCCCCTTCCACTGATTTTGATTTAAGGAGTAATATAAATTGTAAGCTTCATTTTGCTTTTTATTTTCAGACATGTCCAGAGGGTTTTACCCTCCACTTTACCTTCCCTCCATCTTTAATCAGACATATCTGATCCATATTAGAAGAAAACGTGTGCTTCTGAGACCAAATAATGGTGTTTGTAAGATTTTGCTCTGCACTGAATTGATTGGTTTATTTACTGTTTCAGTATTCTTTTGAGAGAAATGGACAGAATTAAATGATAAAAACTAATCTGGTTGGGATGGAACACATTGAATATTTGAACAAGTTAGGAGTTTGAGGGTATTTATACACAACCAACGTTAGGGCTGTAACCACTTCTCAAAAGTAAATGTTGACCTTCCTTAGATAGTCCATTTGTCCATTAATTGTTTTAAGTAATGGTATAGAAAGGTTGTAACCTTCTATGTGGTTTACATGTTTAAGATGCCGTCTTAGAGATCCTAAAAGCTGATCCAGTCATTCTCTATTGAAGCTATTATTTTAAAAGTTCTCACTTCTTTTGTTCTTTCCTTTTAATTTTGACTTCAGTAAAGCATGACTTAGATCATAAGATTTCAACTGGATACTTTATTAGAGTATTGTGTATTAAGGCACTAATGCTTCCTGAAATTCTTGAGCTGAATCATTTGGCAATTACTATTTAGCAAACATAATTTTTTGGAAACAGAGAATATTATTAGCCACTACCACATCACTAATTATATTCTGCCAATACTTTCAGAGAGAATGTCACCAAGGGAGGAAGTGGCATCCATTACCCTTTCCCCCATTCACTCTGAACCAGTGTAGGATGCTGTCATGGTCAAAGCATTTTCACCTTGACAGAATGTGGCTAATGACAAAGCAGAATTAACAACTTGGTTGCTCTAGACCCTTGTTCAAGGGAGAGTAAACAGGACATATATCAGGATGACATCCAAACAGGGTGGGTATAGAATGCCAAGTATGTCAGCCCTGGAAAATTATAACATTCTGCAGTGCCAACTCCTCTACCACTGTTAAAAGTGAGGCAGGTGCAAACTGTCCGTTTCCCCAAGGCTTTTTGGGTTAGTGTTTTTTTCTTAGTACAAAACTCAGAGGAGCAATGGAATTAGACACAATTGGCTCAACTGCTTTACTTCACTTTTTAAAAGAAAGGCAAATTCCAGGAACCAAAAGACTTTTGATGGGTCTCTTTGACATGCACAAAATAAAGCAG